AAAAGTGTCACTTTTTCTTTAAAATCCTAAAAGTTTTACAATTTTATACTTTTTAAACATGTTCTTAGTTCATCGACTATACAATTATATGTAAATTAAAAATATTTTTGGTTTTTTTGTTTCGGATAAAAATTACCAACTCTATTTTGCCCGCCATTTTGTAACTCATTTTGTAAGTAGCGAGGCATTTTAATCACTTATTTGCCATAACGTTATCTTAAATTTATTTAATTAAAATTTTTTTTGTATAATATAAGTATCCAGTAAAGTATCCGTACAGTAATGGAAAGATCGACTTTACTTTTCTTTGTTAAAAATATTCGCGACAATCACCTATTTTTCAGCGTCCTAAACCAGACGCCCTCCTTAATTCTATTAGTATCTTAATTATAGATACTAACGGAATTAATTCTAACTTAATTATAGATACTAACGAATTTATAGAACTTAAGATTACCATTTTAAAATATTTTCACTATAATGTATATAACTGATAAAATAATATTGTATAATAGCATCCAATGGAGCATCTTTACCTGAGGAAAAATGGCCTCGTTGACGGTAGCCGATTGCAAGTGATCGACGAATCGGTCCAATTGTTGCAGCAATCGTAATCTCGTCGCTCGGTCGTTCGACGCGAATAACTTGACGACACAGGGCACCACTCGACGCTGGTACTCAACGTCAGGTAACTGAGAGCCCAGTTGCAGCAGCGGCGGTAACACAGCACTTCCGGCGTCCCCGAATTCGAAAGCGGCCAGTAATTGCGGCAGGATCTTGTATCTGCCGACGCCGTCGGGAAACGAATCCAATTGCGCCGCCAATTGCGAGAAGAATCGTCCCTTCTCCCCGCGTTCCTTCATCTGGATCTCCTCCAGGAACAAAAGGGCGTCAACGAGATTATTCTTGAAGAAGCCGCCGTTACTGCGACAACGCGCTATCACGTCCGCGGGATTCGGTCTCCCTTCCGGATTACCTCCCGTTAGCTCTCGATATACCGTCGTTATTTGCTTCGGAATCTTGAATTATAAAGAGTTTTTACGTGCGTTATTAAAATATAAATTTTTTTAATTACAATTCCGCAAAAAAAAAAACGTAACATAAAACAAGCGGACTTACTTGACCTGTGACTTTAAGTTGCGAAGTGCTGTTGAGAGTGCCGTTGTACGTTTCCCAAATCAGGCAGCCGAGTCCCCACATGTCAACTGAGCTATTTTTGTTTTGTTTATTTATTTATCAGTGTTTTACGTTATTAATATTAAATCCAAGTTTGTAAGCTTTTCCGGTATCTCGTATCGTTTCTTATTGTACCTGTTACGTCTACAATTACATTGCTAAGTTTGGATAAAGTTAATCTAATTATTTTACCATTTAGTCGCGGGCTTTAAGCTTTCCTTAGCCTCCGGCGGTTGGTACACTTGGAAATTAGAGGGTAAGAAATTGTATGGCGTGTCCACGGCCGTCATGTACTCGACCCCGCCGAGTTTCCACTCGCCGCTCTCTTCGTTAACGAACACTGTCCACAGATTGACATTATTATGCCGTAAATTCCCGTCGTTATTTAAGAAGTTAAGTGCCCTCTGCCATCAAATCGAAGTAAAAATGTAATTATAGGATTTTCTTCCGTGTTGCCGCGTGAAAATCTCCGATCTGTGACGCACGTGATGCCTCACTTATACATACTGTGATTTGAAATATGCCCCAGGAGTAGTACAATTCCTTCTTGGACTCATTCTCGGAATTGCATTTCTGCGTCAGACGATTGTACAACGGCTCCACGCGCTCTGTGGCCAGGTAAACCATTTTGTCAGTCTGAGGTAACAAAGCACAGATTTACATCTTTATGTACACAAAGAATACACTACTACATATAACTACTACATATAAGCCAACATAATACAATGTCATACCTCGAGACTGTCAAGATACGCAAGTATACTCGGATGTCTGAGCGTCTTGAGTCTTTTGACAGCCGAACGGGCAATGTCCAGCTGCTGCTCTCCGCCGTTCTTAACATCGAAGACGAACACCGAAACATCCTCGCCCGTCGTGGTGCCCTGCAAAGAAGATCATGCGAGGATAAAAATACAATATTTTCACATAAATTAGACGGAGCTCTCTCTCTCTCTCTTTCTCTCTCTTGTGCCACCATAAATTAAAAACTGACAAAATATGACAGTTAGACACACACATTGTTCAGTGTGTCTCCCAGTCTCGTTGCATTTAAGCGAATTACCTTTCTCTTAGCCCTGTGCACCGTCCAAATGCTCTTGTTCTCCAAGCCCGCGATAGGCTCCCCGATGTCGTACGGGAAATCCTTGGCGGGATCCCTCGAGAAGAAGGACCACATTGTACCTCGTGTCTCGTCTACGGACCGCGCGGTCGATCTTCAGCGTGACGATATCATTGACACTGACAGCGGCGCATCAGAACTGCGAGAGTACAAAAGTCGCTACTGATATTTGCGCACTGCACGAAAAGCATGCTGGAAAAATTATGAATTTGTGACGTGGCACCGCGTTCTCCGTCACACCTTAACCAAGTTCCAAAGTAAAATCTAATCGCGATGGAAAAAAAAAAAAAGAAAACTACGACAGAGGTTAGGTGGCGAATCCGCGAGGGGAAAAAGACGACGAACGGGGTTTCCTCCCCCTCTGAGAAATGAGAATTGGAATTGTGTTTCTCCAAGCGGATTTCGCGGCAATGTATCGCGGAGTAAAAAAGTTCCCCGGAGAACCTGGCTACGCGTATCCCTCGCACTCGGCACGGAAACAATAAATTCTCCTCGTGCGAGACAACGGAAAGAGATCGATCCAACGAGAAAGGGGAGAAACGTGTGAGCGCACGTCGCTCCGGTGTCTGTCAACGTCGCGACATTGCCGTAATATAGTGTCGTGTCTCGAAAATTGACAATTTCGAGTCATTCATCAACCGGACAAAGGTACCCGTCAAAATCCATCTTTTTCCGATGGACAACTCGAAATTGTCATTTTTTGAGATGCGGCACCATTGCCGCGACGTACTCGAGAAACTGCTCGTCGAAACTCGTCAAAAAAGTTAACTTGTTTGTTTGTTTGTTTTTTTACATATCTGGTCATCACATGCAAACTACACCCGTGCTTATTCGCGCGCGCATGAACGGAGCTTCTCCCTGCTCGATTGTACCCCCGAGTATAGGAGAGGAAACGCCGGGAAGGTTAAGGAATTAACGGCTGCCTTCGGTTGCCCCGGGAGTAGCGAAGGAATCGCACCTGATCGAGCTCGCGCGGCACGTCATTTTTCGCGCGACGCGCGCGAGTTTCAAGTTCCGTCGTCGACCGAGACGATCAGAGAGACCCCCGCTCGATCCGGTAGCTCCGCTGTCGCTCCGCTTCTTCCTCGCTATAACCTCTATTGCCCAGTCGTCTGTTCTCGCGTTCGGGAAACGAGTTCTTCTTCTTCTTCTTCTTTTGTAGTGGCACCTGCTCTCAACTGAGAGTCAATACGGCCAAAGTTCTATGTCTGTGTCGTATATCCATGGGTTAGGTGAAAGCGTTTATGGGGACTTAGCGATTGCGACAAAAACGTGCGTGCTTGCTGAGACTAGTGCGAGTATTCTCTCACGGGCGCGTGCAGCGGGGTGGAGGGAGAGAGGGGGGCGCCGGGATCGGAGTAGGATAGTTAGTTTCACAGGAGTGCGCATCGTGAGATTAGCCAAGCGGGAGTTTAAAGGTTTTAAATAAAGATATTACATGCTTTACAGAAAGCCGACACAAGACGACAAAGTTGGACCGAGGGTTTTTTAAGCACTTCAAAAATATCTTTTCTGCAAAAGGCACCAATGCTTATACGCGCAACGAAGTTTCTCAAGGGCTGAGCGTGATTCGCAGTCTCAGGACAGTCAAACACGACATGATTGATATCCTGAATAGGATGCCCACACGAGCAGGACGGGTCGTCAACTAAGTTTTTCCTATTTAAGCTATGATTAAGGCTATAGTGATTCGAACGGATTCGCGAGACCGTCACAATCGCCCGTCTGTCGATTGTGTAGTGATAGTACCATGGCTTTTTCTGCTTGCAGTATATCTTCCGGAAGTATTGCACTCCCTTAACATTGGCCCAGAAATCAAGGTAGTTTTCGAAGTTAACACCTAATCTACTACGAGGGACTGCGAAAAAATCCGAAAGGGGAACCCTAAAAAAGTTGCTTCTACCCTCCTCAATGGCTCTCTTCGCAAGTACATCCGCCCGCTCGTTGCCGGATATACCCCTGTGCGATGGTACCCAAATAAGCCGTACTCTAATCCCTTCGCGACCTGCCTTCTCCAGCTCTGCCTTAATGCGTGGGATCAAATAATTATTTTTGTATAGAACCGAGCCCTCCAAGGCCTGCAGTACACTCTTTGCATCCGAAACTATAACCGCGTCGTCGATACCATATTCTTTCAGGGAAATAATTACGTTGTATATTGCCCACGCCTCGGCCGAAAAGACTGAGGCATGGTGTGGAAGCTTGTCCATGATCTCCAATCCAAGCTGAGGGGAGTGCCACGCGGCACCCACGCACGAGCTTTCATCAACCCTGGATCCATCCGTGTAAAAAACTATCGCATGTTCTAAGAATTTCTGAAAGGTTTCAAGAAAGACTGACTGCGCTGCTGAAGCAGGAGAGTCGTTTAAGAGTGGTAGGAGTTCCTCAGGAAAGTAATGTACCTCCGGAAAGGCAAACATGGATTCATAGGAGTAGCTATATTTTGGTAGTATCACTGTGTGATGTATAACCTGCTTGTGATGTTGCATTTGACGGAAGATTGGGATCAGTGGGAAATTTTTAGCTACATATAAACGTCTAGCAGGGGAGTTGGTCAGAACCATAAGATTTTCCAATTTTTCAGTCACCGGATGATCGGTAATAGAGATGATCTTGTATAAGTATCTAGCAGCCAAATACCGCACCCTGAGTTTAAAGGGAGGTTCACGCGCTTCGGCAAAAAGGACATTAAGGGGAGTGGAAATGCGCAGTCCAAGACAAGTGCGGAGAGCCGCATGTTGGGCGACCTCGAGTTTCTGCCGAGCTCTAGAGTGCTCCAAGCAAAATATTTGACTTGCATATTCCATAACACTTCTGCATAAGGCACGATAGACCGTAAGGAGCATTTGCGGGGGCGAGCCCCACCAGACTCCCCGCAACATGGACAGTACCTGTGAGATTTTCCGTACTTTATGATTTATATATTCCAGATGGGATTTTCCTGTCAAACCTGGATCCAAAATCACGCCAAGAAATTTAGCGGAGGACGAAGAGCTAATATTTGTTCCTTTATAAGCTATTGTATGTTTCGAATTAGCTACTTTGAGGGAACGCGAGAACATCATGAGCTGTGTCTTATCAGGAGAAATTTCGAGACCAAGTTGCTGTAGGAAGTCCCCTATATTCTCCAAGGAGATCTGTATAGACCGCATTGCACGGTTCGGATCAGAAGAGGTGGAGTATATCATGATATCATCCGCAAACTGAATGATCTTAGTATCCGGATGGAGGGCCGAAGCTATCTTACGAAGATAGAGATTAAATAGGGTCGGGCTCAGTACAGCTCCCTGGGGGGTGCCCTTCCGCGAGATCCGCTCTGGGTGCAGACGCCCCTGTGCTACAAATTGCACTGTTCTACTAGAGATCAAGTTTGCTATAAAGGTTAACGATTTTGGAGGAATGTTGAGGGCAACTAGTTCCTGCAAGAGTAAGTTGGGTTGCACGTTATCAAAAGCAGATTTTACATCTATAAACAACGCGGCCGTATGCTTCTGCTGGAGAAATCCCGACTGTATATCTGCCGTTAGTATGGTTAGATTGTCTAAACAGGATCGAAAGCTGCGGAATCCGAACTGAAATTCAGGAAGCAACACCTGATTTTCCATTAGCCAATGAATTCGATTAAGTAGCATCTTTTCAACTAACTTTAAAACACAAGACGTTAAAGCAATAGGGCGATAACCTTTACCCTGGGGTTTCGGAATAAGATGTACAAGAGAGTGCTGCCAAGAACTCGGAAACACCCCCTCGCTGAATAATGAGTTGACAATGTCTAGCAGTGTAAGAAGTAAGCTCCTAGGGAGGGCTCGAATTAATGCATAATCAATGCGATCCATCCCGGGACTTGATTTGCGTTTACTGACGGTGATGGCAGTCAAAAACTCCTGAAAAGTGAAAGGGCTATCAATCCACTCATGGGGGTTTCCCGGCACACTATTAAAGGTGAGAGGGGGGGTAGAGCAGGAGGGAGGACACAGTTTGTCCATGGCTTCTATGAGCACGGGATCTAATTCCTTCTTGCCGGACTTATTTGAGTTCATAGCCGGGGAGACGAGTCGCTTATTGCGAAATCTTTTAATCATCGCCCAGACTTCCGTAGAGGGGGTAAGGGGACCGAGGGATGCACAATATTCTCTCCAGCCATTTCTTTTGGCCAGTCTAAGGACTTGACGAGAATCATTGATCTGCTTCTTAAGGAGGTCGTAGTTTTCTACTGTCGGATTATGTCGATATTCTCTATAGGCTGCTTTCCTTCTACTAATCGCCTCAGCGCATTCCGCGCTCCACCAGGGAGCTGGGGGAGAACCTCGACGAGATCCCTTATTATAAGAGAATCTGCCACTACAGTTACGCGGAGGGGGGCAGACTTTATTCACCACTTCCTCTACCTCAGAGAAAAATGTTTGGTATTTAGCCAACGGATCACAGATAGAGATTTCGCTGATTTTCTTGATCAGGGATTCCGACAGGAGGGATAGATTTTCTTCAATGACTTTCCATTGTTTAGGGGCGATCCGGCGCTTGCAAGAGAAAGACTCCACCGAGTCATACATCTTATTGATGGAAATAAAAATGGGAAGGTGATCGCTTCCACAGAGATCATCGTGGACGGTGCACTCCACGAGCGGCGCCACGTCCGGAGAGGCAAACACCAAGTCGAGAGTGGACGGGTTTTTAGGGGGGGGAGGGAGAAAGGTATGCGAAGGAGAGCTCAAAAGCACCACATTGTAATCCTGCATTTCCTCAACGATAAGCCTGCCAGCTAAGGAAGTGCGCTGGGATCCCCACAGAGGGTGATGAGATCGTATAACTTCGTATAATGA